GGGGGGGGGGGGGCAAACCCGCCTCGGGGCAGGTGAGGGCCCTCCCAGCTGTGGCGGGGTGGATGGATGTTGGTGTGTCCAGCCACGTGAATTTTTGGTTCTGGCCTGAAATAAACCTCTGTCCAGGGGGGACCCAAGGAAACTCCTGGGCACTTCCTGCCTCTGGAGGCTTGTCGAGCTGCAGGTCTAGCACCCCCAGGTCCCCACGCGGTATCCAGAGGTGGTCTCTGGGGCCTGCTTGTTTTCACAGGCACCTCACAGGGTCTTGGTCTGTCCTGCCTGGTCTTCACTAGCTCTGGCCCAGCCAGGCCACTGAGGGGAGGTGGGTCTGCCCTGCCTCTCCCGCCTCCCACTGCCCGGGTGCCCTGCCACCACTGGGCGAGAACCAGCAGCAGGAGGTGGCGGTGCATTTTGGGGACCGAGTGTTTTTTTGTCTCCCCATGAAGGGTCATTCCTCCGACAGATGTTTGCTGAGCACCCGCCCTGTGCCAGGCTGTGCTCTGCGTGTCAGTACCGTGGAGGGCCAGGCGGCCGGGCCTGCTGGGGTGGAGACAGCCAGTAAACAAGTGAGCAGTCACGTAAGGCCTGTCCCCCTGCACGTGAGGCTCTGAAGAAACCGACGTGCTGGAGAGGCCAGGCTGGGGGCACCTTGGGGTGCAGGGGGGTCCTGATGGGTTGAAGGAAGGGGTTGGAAAGCGTGACCAGGCACCGGTCAGAAATGCCCCAAGGCCCCCTGCGCCCAGCTCCAGCAGAGGGTGAGGCCCAGGACCAGGCAGTGGCAGGCGGGGCGGGCAGGTCTCTGGGCCGGCGCAGACCTGGCAGTGTCAGTGAGGCCGGCCCAGGTGGTCTCCACAGTCCCCCCACGTGGAGTCTCCAACATGCACGAGGGTGGCTGTGTCACCCACACAGGGGCTGGTAGGACCCCAAACACCCCGACTCCCGGACAGGCTCTGCCGGAGGGTCCAGCGGCTGGTGGAGTGGGCCTGGCACCGACGGCGTAGACTTGCCT